AGTAGTCTCTCGAGTAGAATCCAAATAGGAAAAAACGAGTTGGAAGTTCGAGATGGTGTGAAATTGTATGGGCAATTGTGCAGACAGCTAAAGAATACTGCAGAAAACAGAGTGTAATGCCACTGAAGCTCTATGTTTCACTTATACCCTAACAAATAAATATTCTATAGTTGGTTTGTAAGGATTAGATTTGTTTATACGAGTATGACCACAGATTGATATCAGTTAGAGAATCATTGAGAACCAGCATTGGAGTACTGGACAGCTGTTTCATCCTACTTTGGGAATCATCGGCAGTACGCAACCACTGCCAGGGTTCGAAGCCACGACCTTCCGGTTACAAGGCAACCTCGTATACCATTCAGCCACTGGGACCTAATTCAATGGCCACCTCATGACTTCTGACTTCTACCGATTCGTGATTTAGCGCGACCACCAACTAATGTCATTGGTGGGACATTCATCCTCACACTTGACTGGATGGACCTCACGAATCGGTAGAAGTTAGAATTCATGAGCCATTGAATCGGTTCCCAGTGGCTGAATGGTATACGAGCTTGTCTTGTAACCGGAAGGTCCTGGGTTCGAGTCCCAGTGGGTGCGTATTGCCGATGATTCCCAAACTAGGATGAAACATCTGTCCAGTACTCCCTGGTTTTCAATGATTCTCTAACTGATATTAATCAGTGATCAACCCGTAAAAACAAATAAATAATATAAATTGCATTGGGAAGTATTCAATGCTGTGCAGATTTATTATTGAAAAACACAGATGGTACATTAGGGCCACTTAGAGATATGCCACAAAAAGCCTCAATTTGGGCGAGGGCAGGGATATAGCCCAGATACCTCGACTGAAGCAGATGGTTTTTATAAGGACCGACCCCTCCCCTGAATCTTAGACTTGAAATCTGATCCACAAAGCAGTATCAGGAGATACGTTCCCCTAGTTGCCAGCAACCAAAACAGGTTTTTACCTCATTCAATCCTTCCGCATTCTCGAACCCATGTACACCAGAAGTTTGAAGTCAGGGTTCTCCAGCTCCCCTAGGTAGACTTTCATGCCCACCAGTCTGGTTGCGAGACTCAGATGATCAAATTCCCCCCTTCACTTTTGTGATAAGTACCCCTGCCTCGTGGAGGCGATGGACAGAGCGTGAAGGCGTGGCCACATGACAGCATTTCGAGAGAATGACTGAATTCTACTCAATCCTCGGCTGTACCACGTCGTTTATAGATCCCTTTTTTGAAAATTTCAACTGCACAAATAGGTTGGCGGCCTATAACCACATTCTGTCCAATCAAAATGAGTTTGGTGAGAAACGCTAAAATACGAGTAAAGCGTAAAATGGTAAAGATTACTACTGTACTTGAAAAATGTTACGATATTAAGTGACTTTAGGAGAAGTATTCAAGTCAGCATTAACATGGTAAACCCAAAACTTATCCCAAATTGGCTCTTTAACCATTGGTTATCAGATCCGAAATCACCCCATCCCCCCATTTACTTCAACTTATACTACCCAGTAATATAATAATTCCTCTTATATCAATCAAATCAGACAGTAGAGATGCAGCTCTTTGGATCAAATTCCACTCCTACCTATTTCATCCTAGGTAGTATCATGAACTCTTACGCAATAAGCATGTGGCCTGATAAATGAAAAAGAACCGGTTCAGATAACTGAGTTCAGCTAAGAAGGTCTGAGAACGTAGTGCATGAAACAAAAGTAAGTAGCATAATTGAATCCATCATATACAGATAGATACACAACGTACTGTTATTATTGTCTCATAAGACTAAACCCACAGATAGATATATAGATAGATATAAACAAAATGATTTAAGTTAATGTTTTTCGCGTTGAAGCGAAATGCCCGGCTTCTGTTGACATGTCAACTCCTATTATGGACTATTGTGTGATATCTGAGGATTAATGTGAAGCAATCTGATGGATGATAACTTGTAAGTGGAATCCAGAGAATGCGTGTATTTCATCCTACTCGTCATCTGGGTGTACCTCTTATCCTCTGTGAGTAAGACGAAGTTGAAGTATCATAACCAAAGTCAAGATTTCATCGTGAGCTGACATCATTTAGAGAACCACTGGAAAACCCGGGAGTACTGGACAGCTGTTTCGTCCTAGTCTGGGACTCTTCAGTAGTACGCACGCGCCGGAATTCGAACCCAGGACCTTCTGGTTACAAGGCAACCTTGTGGACCATTGGGCCACTGGGACCCGATCCAATGGCCAGCCCATGAATTCTAACTTCTGCCAATTCACGACATAGCGTGACCATATCGCAATGTCTTCTTCGATGAGTTACTGCCTCATCCTGAACCTGCTGTACCCTACTGGTCACGGCTTCCCACTAGAACCCCAGGTTAACTGCCTGAATAGGGCCAGTCACTAGTGAGCATCAGATGGTTCTCTAACTGATGTCAGCTCATGATGAAATCCTCCATGAAATCAAACAAAATCCCTACAAAACCAATACTTGAAAAAAAGTCAAGATTTGTCAAAAGTTGACCCTCAAGAACCAATCAGATCTAAGGAACACTATGGATGGTCATTCCAAATCAAGTCATGCCTACCTTTATGGATGAGTTCCATGAAAAATGAGTATTTAACTACTGTGTCAATAAAAAATTAATTGAGGTTACAGAGACTTGTGTGGGGGCAGGGGTAGGAGTATGACAATAAGGCAATACAACCTTGTGGGAGATAAATATTGCTATAGATGCAATTCACGTTATAAGAAAAATGCTGTTCGTGAGGGTAAGCACAGGTACACTTTCTGCTAAGATGTAAGGTTAAGAATAGGGGTCTCCAAAGTACCACAACTTACAATCACCTGGATGAATACGTCTATCACTCATAGCATGATTTCTCTATTTATCAACCTTTGTGAAAATACATTTTCTAACCAGTATGAGAATTTTTATAGTATCTAAATTCTGATTAGTTATCCCAAATCATTGTGGTTCCGTCTATGATACTTCAACTTCGTAGGGAGTGATGGTATTCCCCCATTACGACTCGGACTAAGCACGCATTGTCTAGAACTCCAAAGTGTTGGGCCATGAAGGCCACACCTTTTGTACAACGGATCCCAGTTTCAGTGGGAACATCACCAGTCATTAGGGAACTACGACTACACCTAGCTAAAGAGCACCAAAATGGGACGAAATGAGTATAACCTGGATTTCATTCGTCAGTCATCAATCCGCCCCCTCCCACCCAAGTAATACACATACTTGACCAACGACTCCCATTCCAGGCACTCGGGCTGTTAAATGACAAACAACAAATAGAATGAAAATAAATAAATTAAGATTATTTATTTATTTATTCATAACACTCCTCCAATTCATATACACAAGGTTTAAGATTAAATGAATGAAACAATTACTTGGAGAATGTTCCATAATAGATTTCAATAATATATATATATATAAACAAAAAAAAGGGGGAAAAAAAGACTCATTCATACATAAATAAATATCTTCTGATATAAAGGTAAATAAAAGTTAAAGAATAAACAGCCAAACAAGATAAGTAAATATACGCTCACTCACACACACAAACAAACAAACAAGTAAAATGCAACATATTGCTAAAAAATATACGCATATATATATGTACATATACATGAACAAAGCAAAACAGAAAGACATCATTCGTGATGTAATAAAAAAACAAGAGATCATGCAATCATATGATATCACACATTAGTAGTATATCGTATATCAGAATAGTTTATATAGTAGTAAGTAGTGTAAATGCGCTAACTTCCTTTATTTCATAATACAATAACAATCGCCCATGAATAAGGCACACGCACACACACACACACACCAAGGGGAAGATCAATAACAAAAAAAGAAAAACTCCTCCTCGTCCCCGCTACCACCAAAAGAGGTTGATAATGTAGGCAAATAAAAGGATAAAATATGGGTAAAAAGAAAAGGGTTAAAAACACATTACGCAACTAAATCACTATTATATATATTCTGATAATCTTTCCTAATCGATAGAATCAAAGGTAGAGGGGATTATGAGTGAGTAAAGAAAGAGTAATATCTAATCCCTGTACACAGAGAGAGAAAGGAGTCTATACACCTGTCAAAGAAGATGCCAATGAAGGACTAAAACAAAGAGTTATATTCTCGGGATATTTTCCATACACATAAGAATTAACTGTTATATAAGAACGATATATATATATATATATATATATATATATGTGAAATGCAAACAGTAATCACTCTTCAACAAATATCACAATAATTATAAGAGATACATCTGATGAAAGGCTGACGATTATCATTATATATATATATATATATATATATATATATATATAAAGAGAGAGAGAACGCCTGACTAATCATAACAGTTGTCAAGAGAGGAAAACACGATAAACACAAAAATGTGTATAGAGCTAGTTAGGTGGGCTTTATTCTGTATACACAATTTTTCTCCAAAAAAAAGAAAAGGCAACAGTAAAATAATGATTAGTAGTATCTCTCTCATGAAATGTCAGAGCGACAGACACAAGAGGGGGGGAAAAAAATCAAAATCTGAAAACATACTGATGAATACATTTCAGTTAAATAACAAAAGATTGTGTACAACGAGATTTCTTTTTTTCAAAACAAAAACAAACAGGTTTGAAGTTAAATTAAAGAACTTTAAATCATTTAAATGAACAAAATAGTAAATAGAAAGGGATAAGAAAAGGGAAGAACAGTGAGTAAAATAAGCGTTATGAATATACAACAACTATCTCGTTTCTTTTTGCCTTCCGAGTGGAATGCAGAGCTTTAAGCTTGTGTGATGGGGTCGCTGTCCTCACGCATGCCCTCCCCCCAAATTTAATTTACAATAATCACCATTGAACGAAAAATAAACAAACCGACAAAGAATACAGCATTTTTAGCTCAACGACTGTGTCTGTTTGAAAGCATTATGGTTGGCATACTTCTTTTTTCAAACTTAACGCCTTTTTGTCCAACGATACATGATTAATAAACCTAAAAAGGAGGGGAAAAATATTGGGCAATGAATATCATAACAAAAATCTAATTTATATACTTAAGATAATCTCATATGATCACAAACAATGTACACCGTGATGGCGAGCTACCTAGAATGGTGGTCACATTACAACCTGACTGATAGAATTCAGTCTGCACCAAAGAGAGGACTTGACGCATCACACTACTTACTAGTGTCAAATCAGAATATAATCTCTTTTTCTTTGCATTCCTTCTCCCCTCACCCCCACCATCGGAATATAGGGCTTCACAAGCTTTAGTCTTTGAATTTCTGGTACCGGTAGCATAGTTTCTTTTACAAGATGGCGTTGCTAGCCTCACGTACAACCTTACCTCTTTACCGGATTCACTATAGGATAAGTGAAATTCAGAAGTATACTGGCCAGAAATCGAACCCTGTTAAAATGCCAAACATTCTAATATTGAACCACCAACGTGTTGCATTACACGAAATGTCTAGTGGACATATTGGTCTACCTAAGTGAGATGGGAAAACCCAGATTCCAAATCTATGGTGTACATGGACTCCAGAATCCGAAAGGATCAAATAGCGTATGGACCGCTTTCGGTCACTATAAACCAAAGAAACGCAGTTTCTGGTTAGTCATAGAGGATCTAGAAGGAGGATTAGGTTAAGAAGCAACAACTAAAATGATTTCTCCTAAGACACTGAGGTTGCAATCTACTTTATTCTGTAGATAGGTTCAGCATTAGATATCTCTGTTAAATGTCTCCTCTCTGCTGAACATTGCATCATGGAGCCACTTAAATGAAGTAGTCCTACCAGACGTTAAAAGTGAAGAGATCAAAATGTTTGTTGAGTATTAGATGAGCGTAACGATCGACAAAAGGTTCGGTGGAGCTGATGAACTTTGCGCCATAAAAGTTTCAGAGTGAACGTTACGTCTACCATACAGTAAGACCCTTGGAGGAATTCATATGATGAATTATACCCCATCTACAGAAAAAATAGAGGCTGTGTTCTAACTGTTTCAGGACTCTGCATAACGATACGTTACTCCAAGATACCACACTTCTCGGTAGCACAAAAAGAAATAGACAGGCAAAGAATAACACCAGTGTAAACAAAAAGGATATCACAAGAATAGAGATTTAAAAAAGTGTAGACAAGTGAGACGCTTAACAATCTGATGATAAATAGTCAACATTTGTGTCCTTGTTTTAACATATCGAGGAATGGAGCAAAGCAACTTGCAATTATGTATACACTTCCCCTTGATAGTTGGAGAATTCACAGACTAGTGCTGTCTTTGTATGATTACCATTAACCTTTAAATTAATTCTTCTATAGCCGGATTTGCTATTTGGTGAAGATTGTAGATCACCACATACAGCATATGACTCATTTCAGTTACTGGAGATTCTTAACACAATCGGTAAATGAACTTCTTTTTTTAATACATTCTACATTTGATCATAACATTACTGACTGTGTACTTTCACTACATGTGAGCGATACTAAGAAGACATCTTGGTACTTATGGATATTTAATATCTGACAAAAGTGAAAGGACGAGTACGAACATTTAACGCTTACCACCGAACTTGGTGGACATGCTGGTTTACCTGGAAGGGGGCCTCGGAAAACCCTTATTATAAACTTATAGTGTTCATGGCCTCCAGAATTCGAACAGTTCGAATGACGCATATACCTGTATTGTTCATGGGAAACCTGACGCCATTCCAATGCCTCATGGATCAGACTTCAGGGTGTAGCCCCATAAGACAACCACCTGCTTCGGTCTCGGGCACCCAGGCAGTATCGCAGCCCTCGTAAAAGCTATGAGATCCCGTGTGGAGCACTTCTTGGTTCACTTAGTGTACCAAGTTTGATTTCTAATAGAACAATATATCTATATATAAATACAAAAACGTCACCACATCCTGAGATCATTCTAACGAATTCACTTTTTCTTCCTTCACGTTCCCCAGTGGAACATAGGGCTTCAAGCTAGTGGCTCGAAGTTTCTGTAGCAGTGTTTATTTTACAGGATGGGGATTGCTAGCCTCATGTCCAACCTTTTCTCTTATCAGTTTTCTTTAATATTTCTGGCTTAGCGTCGGCCGGGAATCGAACCCCGGACCATGTGCATGGTCGGCGAGCGTCCTAACCGCTATGCCACCACAAAAAATAATCAGAAATTTTAAAATCAGATTTCAACTTTTTACGTTGCTCTCATCAATACGATGTCTGAAAAAAACAAAGTAGCCCACGTGAGCATTTAAGTCAATTTGATTAAAAATCAACATACAAAACAAGCTGGTGGATGTGTTATAAATACCGCCTATTGCACAATCTCAGTCTCTCTTCACTCTAGTTAAACTTTAGTAGCTTCATGCATTTTTTTTCAAGTCCGCTAATCAGATCAAAACTTAGTGACTATAATCAGTAGTTGTGACAATAACAGATAATGCCGATTTTTACTTTTGAAGAAAATAATTAGACGTGATTAGACGTGTAAGTGAATAAATTGCCTACAACTATTCAAAAATAATTAGATCAAGTACAAACAAAATTTAAAAACAAGTTAGCAGAAATGTTCATTTTTTTAAAGCAAAAGAAAAAAATACATACCGAGACAAAACCATGACATATTGGCAATTGCAACTGACGGATCCAAAGCAATCAATGCTTTGCAAATACTATGAAAAGCTGCTTTAAACGCAACAAAAGCCAAACGAGTCTGACGATTGAATTCATCCTTTGATAGATTATCACCTGCAGGGCATTCAGTAGCTGATGAATACGTAGTATCACTGCTAGACGTTTGTTTATAAAACTTTGCATCATACGGAAATGCTAGTGAATTAGGCATACTGGCAGGATAATCTGATTTTGGTGATTCACGTAGAATTTTTGACAACAACCATAATTTAATATCATACGGAAGAAATGGTAGTAATATGCCAAACAAACAAACTACCACACTTAATAGAAATAAAAAACTATAAAATAGATCATAAAGGAGTAAAACGCCCGTTTTACTGTTCCCCGTTTCACTAGCATTATTGACATGACCAATTTTTAACGTATCTGAAAAATATAATTAAAGAAAATGACTTTTGAAAAATTGAAACTAAATATTACTGAGGATAATACAATTATTTACTATTGTAATTAATTCCCTATGACGCTTACACTCAAAAAACATTCATATATGAGAATAGGATTCATCACAGTCAAAACATTTTACAAGCCAGTGTGACAGACGTCATGTAGTCGTAATAGTTTCAATGAAACACTGAAACTATTTGATTGTGAGAGGAAGGCACTGGAATCCAGAACGCGTCTTTCGGCCTATTTCGTACTCGTTACCTAAATGTAACTACACCCTAATGAATGATGGTGTTCCTATTGAGGACCGAACTCAGAACTAAACACTCCTAATCAGAAAGCATTCACCCTTACTCTACTGCAGATATCTGTAAATCCTGTTCAGAAGTGAAATTGACAAGAATGTTTTACCCATACATGAATAGACTATTAGACTACCCCTCTACAATTAAACTCGTGATGCAAAAGTCATAAATATACCCAGAGTAAAAATATTTTAAAACTGTTGGTTTGGTGAGTTAAGTTTATAAATAAAATATATAAATACGACTGCGTTACACACATAGAACTAGTCACAGAATCGAAAAATATTTAATATGTCTACAAGGGTTAAAAAATGTAACTCAAAATTAAATGTATAATGGCCATTTTTACACAACACACTAAGCTGTCATTAGACTTAAGTGATCCGCTAACTAACCTCATCTGAAGCGAAGTTAACGAAAATACTTCACCAAAGACTGTCTTCGAAATCTTAGGTGAAAGCTATAAATTCTTTGGACAAAATAATGAAAGAATGTGAAGTCGTATAATTATTGCAGATAACTATAGCACTTATTTCAGCGTAGAGAATCGGAATTCTAATTAGACGCTCAGTAGTAGTGAAATACAAGTTGAAATAAAAAGGTGAGGAGTATCAGTATTTCAAGGAATGCTCTAAAATCACAACTACACGATACGAACTTGGATGACATCTTATTCCCACTTTAATTGTAATGCTAACTATCAGACAAACAGCTAAATTTAGCCGCACCAATTCTAGTCTGTGTATTTATTGTAAAATATCATTTGATTAGGCTGAAACATTAATTATTTGAAATACTCACTCGGATTTGTTATTGTTTTCTGTACCTTCATCGTGGATGAAAAGTTTGGAAAAACCAAACTTTTTGCACGATCCACTGACAAATAGGCCTTTGAATTCACTGAGTGCTTTTCAGACCCAACTAAATCTCCAATTGCGCGTGACAAAGAAGCTGCACGTAGACTGGCAACAGATAATCCCACATCATGGTATCGACTTGGCCAAGTGCTGCACGAATCTGAATCACGACTGATGACATTTTGAGATGGATTACGTGAAATGGTTGAACATATGTAGTGTTCACCTAATTTAATGAATTTAGAAACAGAACTGTAATAAATGCGAATAATAAATGAGAATAATAGAATAGTATGACTGATTTATCTCCGAAAAGACATCATAGAAGAGAGTTAAGCGAATAAAGACTTCTGCGTCGAGGAAGTCATTTTTCTAAAACTGTGAGTGCTCTTATATTTGGAAAAAATGTATAACAACCCATAAGTGTTGAGCGGAATGGGGTGGTGATTAATTTGCATTCTTTTTGCTAGGTATGTAGGATAGTACTGAAGGACTGATCTTTTGGAGCCAACACAAACAGCTTCACAAAACCAAGTAAATTTACGAACACAAGGAACTGGCTACAACGTCAGTGATCCTGATCATATCATTCTCCCTCCCTTTTCACATGTATACATGTTCGTTGACGTAAAATTTCGTGTGTAAGCTCGAGTTGATGTGTACAGTTATATGTTGGACTTCACATTTCGTCTCATATATACCGTTTCCTAGATCACCTGCGTGTGAAAAATTATTGTGCATATGATTTCATCACAGATGAAAACTAACAATAGTTGTACCAACCGAATGTATTGCACTTCTCTTATAGGAAAGTGGCAAAACTTTCTAATTTATTTAAATTAAGACGTTGTTCCACTAGTTTTTATTCACATAACTGATTGTTATCGTCTGCCGTAGGAACCATGCACCATTTGATACATGTGGGCATTCCTGCCTATTCAATGCTGAAACAGCGACAAAATTAACATATGACGTATGGAAATCTCAAGAAATCAGAAAGCAGAAGAAATACAGATACAAGCGGAAATTAGCGGAAGTCGCCACACTATAAGAGCAGTGTGAAAATTAAGAACATGAACAATCAAGTGAATAATAACCACCAGTAACTTTCAGAGAATGAGGAATGGAACTTAGACAGTGTGGCAGAATATAAGTGCATAATATAATAATATCATCTGATGAAACACACAGTAACACAGTACTATTTATATGGCGATGACGCCTTCGGCACAATGTATTACTTATAATCATATCCTATGTTTATGAGCAAAAATGTAAAATCAAAGTGGAAAATAAGATACACTATTGTAACCATATGTGTAGCGCTTTTGGAAACTAGTAAACTTTCATGTTTATGAAACAATTTCAGTAACACCTCTGAAAAACTCCAAACAAATTTTTATTGCGTATTGCATAAGTTGGAGAAGAAATTTAGAGCTACACTGTCAAATTGCAAGCCATTAACCGCTTCGCAGATTTCAACTGAAAGGCAGCTCAAGCAGACTTAGTGGACGCCGTCCACATCCTGAGACACCGTTAGCGCTGCTTCTATCTCAGTAAATTTTACACATACAGATGCATAACCCCAGCTACTTAAGTCGATGAATATCTGGCATCCCACTACTAATAATAATATTGCTCATTCGGTGGACATATTTGTGGGCTATATTGGAATGCATGATTTTATAACTGAATAAAGTATTACCCACAGCACAAAATGTAATCAAAAGGAGCCCAATTTTTTCAACGACCTCTTATACAACACAATGTTTTGCTTAACTTCCCTATATTAAACGATACTTCCAATGATTACCATACATCAACATCCAAATAATTTGCCAAGCTTAATAACTACTTACTGTAAGTTACAGGGGCTTCACTGTAAATTGACTATACTTTAGTATGTATGTAGATAAACTGCATTTCTACTAAGGCTCCAGAATCTACACTACATTAGTATTTAAGCCATACATGATCAAGTATGAACACTGATGAACAATCCTTAGTGGATGCAGACAAAATATGTAAGGAAAGTAGTATCAGAAAAAGGGAAGAAGATCAAGATCAACTGAAGAAGTGGAATGAAGGAAAGACCCAAAACAAAATTCCAAAATCAAATTCCAACTTAATCAGAAAGATATTTTAAAATCAAGAGTCACGAGTCGGGAGATTTACTTGATTCGCAGTTAAGATGTACATGAAGTTATTAATGAACTCTTTAAACCTAGCGAGTTTGTGGTTCAACAAAACAATCCTTCCAAGAACTGAGAAAAATACCAACCAAAGCTATATCAGTAACAAATCCAGCATACTTGCGCATTACCAACAAGACAACCAAATAAAAAGTTAATAAAGCAGTGTAAATTCTGAATTTAATTACTTACAAAAGGCAGAACCGTCGATGGAGTCGAAGAACTGAACCTTGAAAAAATCCTTGGCAACGTCATCATTCACTGGGATTCTCGATACCGAAATATCCCTAACAAAGAATCAACACGACTGATACACTTACGTCTTGACAAACTCCCCAGATTTTAGTAGGCCCTTACAAGTCGAAAGTGTGTATCTGGACCGAGCAGTAGACAAAACTATTGAAGTTTTAAGACAACAAGTATAGTTATTCTACCTTTAAAACGCAGTGTTCGAGCCGATTTGTTCACAATTAAAACCTCACATGTATTAAAATTCCCCTTATCAGAGCGATGAAAAAATACATTGGATGGTTTGACAATTACTTCTCTGCTTGAATCAAGCGTCATTATAGTCTTCGCAACTCATGTATGTTACTAATCCTGGTTACATCGTAGATTGACAACTGATAGTAACGCATGTATTTGTAAAATTAAGATCAGTTGAATTTTCCAATATGTCATATTCTATTTGATTGTGGCTTGCTACGTCGCTCTTAAGCATTTCTGGGTTCACTTGACTCATGTTACGCTTCGCCGAAAAATACTTGACTGATTTACGGAATTTGTCATATAACAGCTTTGTATAAATGCAGCTAACTTCAAGTAGGCTGCGATCCTGCTGTAGCGGTAAATAATTCCCCAAAATTATTAACCACAGCAATCATCACTCAACATTGGATGCTGACCATCACTGTTTAAGTCGACTTGTTTAGCTGAAGGCTTACGGTCAAGCATCCCGGCCATTTGGTGCTCCGTCGTGTCACGTGCGTGCACGATTACTAGCTAGCTAAGCATTCATTCCTACCCGCGATTTGGTCCCAAAATATATATCGTATTTGGACGACAAAATCTGGTCTTTTGCTTTACCATTTGGTACTCGAAGAACGAACACTATAGTGGTTGTTGGTATAAGATCTTGCGTTAGTATAATCCGTACAACTCGCGAACGTCGATACCTACAGCCCCCTAAACTGGTGAGCCCGACGTGATAACCACCTAAACTGGTGAGCCCAACCTCGAACTTCACCTTCAGTTCACACGCAGATAAACCCGGTGAGTTCGTTCCTTTTTGTGTTTATTCTTGTACTATATTGTTATCGGCATACTTTTCGTCATGAGTGATCCTAGCCCCAAGGTTATTCAGATTCGCTCAACCGCCAAAACAATTCAGCTAGTACCATTTTGGCCAGATAATGCTGAAACGTGGTTTCAGATTGCTGAGTCTGATTTTTGTGAACATGGCATAACTGATCAACGTTCACAGTTCCTTGCAGTTATTCACGCCCTACCGCGGGAATTCAGCAGGTGCGTAACTCTGCAGATGTCGGTAAGTAACTCGTACGAGTTGCTAAAAGCATCCATCCTCAAGAGGAACGTTCTCACAGATCGACAACGTCTGGATGAGTTATTTCGTAACATCGAGTTAGGAGATCAGTCAGCCGTGAGCATGCTGGCAAGAATGAAAGAGATCATTGGCCAAAGTCAGTTCGATGAAGGACTGTTTAGAGAACTATTTTTATCCAAACTGCCACAGTCAGTTCAGACTGTACTTGTGACACTTCAAAGTGTTCTCATAGATGACTTAGCTGTCTCTGCAGATAGAATTCTAGAGATAACGAAACGGCCAGTTACTGAAGTATACTCTGTTACTGAACAGACTTCGAAGAAGGATTCTGCAATGATAGAGTTAATCAACTCCGTCCAGCAGATGCTTAGGTCAAACAAGCCTAGCAATTCCTCCTACCGTCGTTCTAAATCCCCTCAACGGCAAAGCGCACGTGGACGATCTAAGTCCAACACACGCTCTCTCAAAAATCCTGACTGGTGTTGGTATCACAACACCTATGGCAAGGAAGCGAAATGTTGTCGAAAACCTTGTGATTTCGGCAAAGCCTCCAAGTCTGTGGGAAACTATCCCGCCGGCACGCGTTAGCGGCAACCGTCGCCGGTGGCACTAGCCGCTTACTTTACATCCATGATGTAATGAGCCAGACTAGATATCTAGTCGACACAGGCGCCGAAGTCAGCGTCCTTCCTGCTACAGCAGCAGATCGACAGAAGGATCCTAACTTCAACCTACAGGCTGCAAATGGAAAACCAATTGCAACCTATGGTCGGAAATACGTCTATCTGAACGTAGGTTTACGCAAACCTATTCGGTGGATTTTTCTGATCGCTGACGTCACAATGCCCATCATTGGCACGGACCTACTTAATCATCATGATTTACTCGTAGACGTCCGCCGTAAGCGACTAATTGACAACACTACTAGTTTGTCTATCAAAGGCATAACTTACAGTGGCCCCAGCTTGTCAATCGTTAAGATGAAAGCAATCCTCGATCCAACTTTTCAACCGATTGTTGACAAATATCCGGAACTGAATTGCCCATCTAACGATCTCCCGTGCATAACCAGCAATGTTATGCACCACATCATAACCTCAGGACAGCCCGTGACATCTAAAGCACGACGACTGGCACCTGATAAACTGAGAATTGCCAGAAACGAATTCGATCATATGCTCACCCTTGGCATCATTCGACCATCGAATAGTCCATGGGCATCCCCATTACATATGGTACCGAAAAAGGATAGCAACGATTGGCGACCCACTGGTGATTACCGGCGAGTGAACGCCAAAACAACTCCTGATTGCTACCCTTTGCCTCACATACACGACTTGACGGCAACGTTATCTGGAGCATCTATATTCTCCAAAATCGACTTGGTTAAAGCATATAACCAAATCCCGATGGCAACGGAAGATATCCCGAAAACGGCTATCATCACGCCTTTCGGACTTTTTGAATTCCTACGTATGCCATTCGGCCTCCGGAATGCGGCCCAAACATTCCAACGCTTCATCAACGAAGTATTTCGCGGTCTCGACTTTGTATACGCATACTTAGACGACTGCCTCATTGCCAGTCCAGATAAGGAAACTCACCTTAGACACTTGGACTTGGCATTTGAAAGGTTACGCCAACATGGTGTTACCATCAATATACAGAAGTGTCAGATAGGTGTTGACTCACTCGATTTTCTGGGTCACACTATTGACTGTCAGGGCATACGCCCACTGGCTACCAAAGTCGAAGCAATACTGAACTTTCCGGAGCCAAAGACAGTAAAATGCCTTCGCACTTTTAACGGTTTGGTAAGTTATTACCGACGTTTTATTCCTAATTGTGCTTCGCTAATTCAGCCATTAACCGATCTCCTTCGAGGGAACAACAAGGCTATCGAACTCGACACGTCTGCTCGACATGCTTTTACTCATGTAAAGAAAGCTATTGCAGATGCCACCCTTCTTATGTATCAGGATCCAACGGCACCGTTGAGTATCTCGGTTGATGCATCAGACACTGCAATCGGCGCAGTTCTGCAACAACTAGTTAACAACGAATGGCAACCACTCGCCTTTTTCTCGAGGCGCCTTCAAGTAGCTGAAACGAAGTACAGCACATTCGGAAGGGAACTTCTAGCTATGTACTGTGCTATACGTCATTTTCGACATTCAGTTGAGGGTCGTGAATTCACCATTTTCACTGACCACAAACCTCTGACGTACTCTCTGAACTCAACTTCAGATAAGTATTCACCCAGGGAATCGCGACAACTAGATTATGTTTCACAGTTTTCATCAGATATTCGCCATGTTTCCGGAGTGAACAACACTGTGGCAGATGCCTTGTCACGTATTTGTTCTTTCACCCAAATCGATGGCATAGACCTTGTAAAACTGGCTCGTCTTCAAAAAGAAGATATTGAGCTTCAGCGTGAGTTGTCGAAAACAACTCTACAACTAGCCAAGAAACCCTTAGGTATAGGAAAGGATACTATTCTGTGTGACATTTCCACTAGTACTCCTCGCCCCATCGTGCCTAAAAGTTATCGCCGTAACGTCTTCAATACGTTGCATGGCTTATCCCATCCAGGTATTCGAACTACTGTCAAACTCGTAACTAGTAGGTTTTGCTGGCCTGGTATTAACAAGGAAGTAAGGGAATGGGCACAGACGTGCTTAGCTTGCCAAAAGTGCAAGGTAATAAGACACACTAAAAGCCCCCTTGGCACTTTTCTTATCCCTGATGCCCGTTTCGAACACGTCCATGTAGATTTAGTTGGCCCCCTTCCAGAATCTCATGGATATACCTATATGTTAACCTGCATCGATCGCTTCACACGATGGCCTGAAGCAGTACCCATCAAGGATATATCTGCTGAAACTGTCGCACGCGTCTTTGTAGAGAGATGGATCGCAAACTTTGGATGCCCATCTTCCATAACAACTGATCGTGGGCGGCAATTCGAAAGCGGTTTATTCTTCGCTTTGACTAAAATCCTTGGTTGCATGCGTTTTCGAACGACAGCCTACCATCCTCAAGCGAATGGTATGGTAGAACGTCTGCACAGACAGTTGAAAGCTGGTTTATCAGCTGCAAATAACACCCACTGGACTGAATCCCTTCCGTTAGTTCTCCTAGGGATACGAAACGCCTTAAAAACCGATGCTGGTTGTACTACCTCTGAGCTAGTATATGGCACAACACTACGACTGCCAGGTGAGTTTGTTTCTCCCTCGAGCTTCCCACCAGTGGTAGATCACTCCTCATACGTCAGCAGGCTTACAAACGCTATGCGTTCAGTTAAACCTGCTCCCCTCCGACCACAGTCCATTGATGTTTTTGTTCACCCTTGTTTAAAAACTTCTTCACATGTATTTGTTCGTCGCGACTCAGTACGTCGTCCTCTAGAACCCCCATATGACGGACCATATAAAGTGATTAAACGTACTGATAAATTCTTCGTTTTAGACAAAAAAGGCCGCGAAGACACCGTCAGTATCGACCGTCTCAAACCAGCTTACTTGGAAGGTAATCCCATTAGCCTGGAGCTAAACGTACCCGATAATTCACAAGTAATTGAATCTACTTCAGTCTTCGAAGAACTCCCTAGCACGGCGAAAGCCACCGAACCTTCGGTCGATCACTCTAAGAAAACGCGTTCTGGACGTCACGTTAGATTCCCAGAATACCTTCACACCTATTTCACATAACTGAGTGACACATCAATTTTTTTTATGTTGCGTCATTTAACACAAGTAAATGATATTTTTCCTATAACCGTACATAAAATTAAATTAGATGTATATTTTTTTCCCGATATTTTGAACTTTGCATTATTTTACTGTATAGTAGATGCATGTCATATTTTTTTGGTAAAAAAACGCTTATTTGGTACATTTTTCTTGACAAGGTTCTCAGCATTCTTGTTTTCTTTTCCAGGTGCAACGGGCACTGGACAGGAAACAAACGAAGCACGGGATCCAACGAACAACATCCAGGAAGCTATGTACAGACACCCTATTAGCATAGGAAGACAGACCAGCAGGCTCTCGATCAAGCCGCTCGGAAGATTTTTTTCACCCATCAGGGAACCATCGAGATTTTTTTACTTCCGGCTGGTCATGTCTTAGGGTCCTCACAACCCCACTAGGGGGGGAGTGAGCTGTAGCGGTAAATAATTCCCCAAAATTATTAACCACAGCAATCATCACTCA